AATAGCTTATATGAAAATCTTTATTAAATATATATATAAATATTTGGGTAGAATCGTAATCAAAACCAATGGTTCAGGTTTAGGTTTGGTTTCAGTATTTACAAGGACCGGAATGGTTCCATTTATGAAATATTCAAAATATAATGGATGGTTTCAAGTATTGATTTACCTTAACCGACCCACCTGATGCTCATGCACATGTGACATTGTGCGATTTGTTATTGTAACCATAAATTATTTGTTATCGTGACCTCGACGTGTTTAATTAATAGCTCACAAAACTTTATCAATGATCAATTGTGGAGTAATGGAGTGGGACGAAGAGAATTTGAGACCAATTATCTGAGTAATTGTGATCGATAAAATGGCAATTGTGACCAATAAATAACGTGACATAAAAAATTTGTGATTTGCGAATAAATTTGTAATTGTTACAAGCTGTGACTGTGACATTGTGCGATTCGTTACTATAACCATAAATTATTTGTTGTTGTGATATTGACATTTTTAATTAATTAATAAGTCACAAAATTTTATCAATTATCAATTGTGGAGTATTGGAATTGGACAAAGAGAATATGTGACCAATTATTTCAGTAATTGAGATCAATGAAATAGGTAATTGTGACCAATAAATAATTTGACATAAAAAAAGTGTAATTTGAGAATAAATTTGTAGTTGTGACACACAATTGTGTTTTTGTGATCGTGACATTGTGCAATTTGTTAATGTAACAACAAATTATTTGTTATTTGTGATCTTGATATATTTAATTAATTAATAAGTCTCAAAATTTCATTAGGTAGTCATATTTGTGACCAAGTGAGTAACCACTTGATTTTTGAAAGGATTTCACAAGTTTCTCAAATTTGAAAGAATATTTTAGAATGATGATAATCACGTATTTTTCCCTCGAGTTAATGCCAAGGCGTTTTGTTTACTTGCAGAGTGTTACAAAAAGAAAGGGCTTAAAGAAGAGGCCAACAAAGTTTACGAGAATGGGAAAAATTCATGGATCGGATATTATTTATCATGAAATAAAAAATCAGGCCCCAAATTTTAAAATTACAAAAATCAAGCTTTCCATTAATTAATTATATTTCATAATTATTATATTAAATTAAATATTTAACTGTAATATAATAAAATCACCCCACCCCCCCCCCCCCCCCCCCCCCCCCCCCCCCCCCCCCCCCCCCCCACCCCCNTTAAACTATAATATAATATAATTAATCCACTTCACCCCAAACCACCCCCACTTTCCCTTCCCCTATTGCTCCGACAACTACTCCGGTGATTGGCGACTACTCCGACGACTATTCTCCGGTCACAGATCAAAAATTTTGTAGGTCATTGATTATTTCGAGATCACAAATCTAAATTTTTTAGGTCACATATTTTTTATTGGTCACAGATCAAAAATTTTGTAGATCACGGATTATTTCGAGGTCACAAATCTAAAATTTTATATCAAAAAAATTATATGTCACAGGTCACGGATTTTCAAATTTGTTGGTCACAGATTCTTTTTTTTTTTAAGTTACAAATTATCAATTTTTAAGTCACAGTTCAATAGCTAGGTCACAGACACCAAAAAGAACAACCACCGCCGTTGACCCCGCCACAACAATAACAAAAAACGACCACCACCACACGAATCACCATCGCCACCACATGACCGCCAACACAGATCCACCACCTCTACAACCACACATCCCCAAATCTGCGACATTATACATCCCCAGATCCGCGACAACACAACTTCATTCCCAAACATAATCACCAACAATAACACCAACAACAACCACCACCGTCATCGCCTGCACAACACCACCAACATCGTCGCACTTGTCACACCATCACCACAACCACCGCCATAATAATAATAAGAAAAAACAACCATCCAATTGCCGCCTACACCACCACACCAAGAAAACCACAATCACTGCCGCAACCCCACTACAACTATCGTCACAACAATATTAACAATACACCAAAAGGAAAAGAATCATCTATTCCAACAATAGAAATAGCCTGGACAATGGTAAGAGAGAAATCATAAGGTCTCAAAAAATAGAATGCAAAGCACTCTCAAATTAATTTACCTTTTCACCTGCTATTTATTCCGAAGAAGCTCAGAATAATACTGAGTTGAAAGAATACAAGCTCCCTGGTGTTGAATCAGTTGAAACTGAGGAAAGTGCTTCATCTTCTTTTGCTGCACCTTCAAAACCTGAGACAAAGATAAAATTTGACTTAAATGAAGGTTTGATAGCAGATGATGGAAAATATGGGGAGCCNGTGTTGAAAGAATCCAAGCTCCCTAGTGTTGAATCAGATGAAACTGAGGAAAGTGCTTATTCTTCTTCTTCTTCTTCTTCTTTTGCTGCACCTTCAAAACCTGAGACAAAGATAAAATTTGACTTAAATGAAGGTTTGATAGCAGATGATGGAAAATATGGGGAGCCAGTCAACTGCATAGCTCCAGATTCGACCAATGTTCATTTGATTAACTCATTACTTTCTGCTGTAAGTTCCATGGCCAATGTCCTTCCTGCTTCCATTACAGTAGTTGCTGCAACAAATACCCATAGCAGGTCGCGACGCTGCTGTGAACGTAGCAGCGTCAAGGCGCTACTGCGAGAACGGAGGGGGGGAGGGAGAATGGGAGAATGGGTGGCGGCGACGGAGGTGGGAGAGTGGAGTGAGGAAATATTGAAATACATTTAGGGTTTGGATTAGATTTAATTTGAGGGTGGGGGTGAATATATAGATTAATTTAATTTAAAATATCATTATTAATTGTGAAATTAAAACTTGATTTTTGATTGAAAAACATTTAAACCTGATTTTTAGAAAGTTAAAACTAAGTACCTGATTTAGTGTAATTACATCAAATAAATATGTAGGAAAAAAGAGTTCTAAAAGAGGCTTAAAAACTAGACTCTTTCTGAGCAAAAAAAAGTTATCCACCAGCTTTGAGTAACAAAATTGTTACTCGACTCTTGGTCGCAAAAAGGAAAATAAAAACATGTATATTAAAAAAGCATTCTTGATATACTCAGATGTTTCTTTAAAGAGTATAACGTTGTACAAAATGACAAAAATAAAATAAATATTTTTTCGACTGGTTCAAAAGTTGTACCGATTCATTTCACAATCGCTACGAAATCTCAGTTTCCTAATAGGTTGGGGACTTCAGCACAAGTTCCTTTTTAACAAATTGCATTTGACATGGGAAATTTTACCAAACCACTACAATTATGTTATTTCCCCATTAAAGCCAAAGGCCCAAAGCTTTATAATGGGCGCTCTACATTTTTTATGGCTCTGCATTTGAAGACATACCGATGTTTCAGATAGACTAATGGCAAAATTAACATCATCGAGATCAAGACGAACACGACTTCTTCAAGGAGTGGGACTCGTTTTCAAATGATGAAGATCATGGGTGCACAGATGAGGAGAAGTCGCTGATGTAATGGGTGCTCGGATAGTTATTACAAGAAATAGACATTAATCATTCAGCATAGTAGGTAAATAGTAAACTACATATGAGAGTTATTACAAGAGAAACATAGAACAGCTCTCAAGACAAACAATAGTCCTACATCAGTCCAAACAGATGAGCTCATGAGCAAGACGCCAAACCTTGAAAGCAGGCGCACATTAAGCAATAGGAGGACCGGAACTCAACCGTGCTCACAACCTTGAGCTTCCAACCTGTAAGCACATTAGAAGCACTATAAACATTGAGACGGTTTACATTCAGACGAATAGCATACTTAATCAAAATCTAAGCCTTCAACTACTAGCATATACAAAATAACATCTCCAAAGATAAAAAACATTGTGAAATGCACCATAAAGACGACAACAAAGAAGACGAAAACAGTGATATTGATGAAGGATGTCAAAGATCTTGCACAGTTCATTCAGATATCTGGCCAACATATAAAGCAGTAAACCACTGTTGGACCAGTAGCATTTAGTACAAGGATATCTACAGCGTACATAGTTTATTCATAAATAAGTTTGACACGGGAGCAGCGCTCAGAACCCAATCATATACTTTGAATAAGGGATTATATACACTTCAATTTGACTTTCATTTTTCCTATTAGGCTACCAAACACAGTATAACCGCTCCTGAATACAAACCAAAAATTGAACTCTTAATTGAGACTCCTTTTTGGCATTCTTCTTATCATTGAAGGTAGGCCTTGGCACAATGGTAAGGTTGCTCCATTGTGTAAGGTCACGGTCACTACAAGTTAGAAGGCTGCAGGAAAGGC